CTCTCATCTTTCTGACTTTCTCTTCTTACCCCCAAACTGGAGTCTTGTCCACTGCTGCAGGTTGGATCCCAAGCCACAGTGGATTACCCATCTGATAACTTAGCTAATATCATCTTGTTTGGCAGCTTGTTTCCAGCCTGACAGGGTCCGTTCTTTCTTGGGCATAAATTGTTCAGAGATTCATTCTTCCACACTTCCCTTTCAGACTGCCCATCTGTGGTGCATGGCAGTCTTCTGATGCCCTCGTTGCTGTAAAATGCAATGTAAAAATGCAGTGTACACCCATTGTCTTTTTCAACCTCCTTTTCTGGCGTGGTTGAAAGCAACAACATGACTAAGAGAGGATGAAGGTGTGAGGTGGGTTTTTACATCTGCATCATTTCCATTTCCCTCTCTTCTCCCAGGCAAAGTATGGCATATTGTGACTCAATGGCTATTGGATTTCCTTCTCTGTAGAGAGCTTGGATAAATCATTAGCCCATCTGCACTGACCTGGCCAGCATCCTTGCAGCTGGCAGTATCTTACTCAGACTTGACTATGCTGTGGCTTGTGAAACTCCCCTTGTCAGACCAAGCCAGCAGCAGCTCTTTGATATGCTTGCTGTAAATAGAGACCATCTTATGCTGGGAGGTGGTCGTAATCTGTGGTTCTGTGTTTACATTAGTCATTCTGACTTACTTTTCTGTTCTGTTTGTTTTGTTTTTATGTCTTGTCTTCCTCCAGTACACCTCCAGCATGAGAGCCAAATACCTCGCCACCAACCAACCTCGTCCAGATGCTGGCAGTGTGCATTAAAATGAAAAAGCAAAAAAAACAAAACCCACACGTGCAGTCAGACTTAACAATGTGCCAGCTGCTGTGCCCCTGTGCTGTCCTCGTAGAACAATCCTGCTGTTCTGCCCCAAATCCAGTGCAGCTCCTTCTGTTTCTCCAGCCCAGACCACCTTCCAACCTGGTACCTGCCCACTGGAGTGGGAAACCCCTTTTGAGTTTAAGCCTTCACCTTGTTGTACCTGATGTGCAAGAGAAAGCAGGCACGTGCGGGCAAGCAACTGAGAGCACCCAGACAAGAAACTGGGTCCACCTGCCTGGGGCCAGCTTTATCAAAGTAGCTTATCAGAAAAAGTTGGTGAATATCTTCTGCCCCCTTTTTTCTGCTTCTGTTCCCCAGAGGGACTTGGTGAAAGATGGTGGTAGATCTTCTTCACTTCTGCAGTGGGATCAGCAGTCTGTCAAACACTGAAGAAGCAGAGGCTCAGTGTCTGTGACTAGCGTACAACGAGGGAACGCTGAGTCAATGCACGATACAGCATTTTGGGGGTCCTCTGGTCCGGTGCCCTGTCTGAGGGAGCAAGGAAACCCCTGCCTCGTGGTGTCACTGTATATCACTGTCATTTGAGAGCCTGGGGCTCTTCTAGAGAAAACCATTCCGCTACCCTGGTTAACTTTTTAAACAAAAATCTATTACGAAAATGCCTTTTTCTTCCCCACTATATCTAGCATGTGAATCCTCGAGGAGGAGCAGGGGGGTCCCAGCACCAGTCAACTACACTGTCCATTGCCCTGAACCTGACCTCTCTGCTCCATCAGGGAAGCCCAGGTACTTGCAGATGGCATTCTGGGTGCTGCCTTTAAGAGGCCGACACACAGATCAAACAGGAGCCAGCCACCCACTTGGTGCCAAATTTTTCCAGGAAAGGACTTGTAAGACTTTACGGGGGGTATTTTTGCACTAAAGAGTTTTGGCTCTCTGATGCTAGATCTTAATGGGACAGTCAGCTTGCAAAAGCACCAATGGATTTATAGCAAATGCAAGCTCTCCCTGCAGGAGTGACCTGTGAACTCTGCTGGACTTTTTGGTTTTGTTTTTTTTTTTTTAAATCATAATTTTCAGCACGGGGTTGCTGAACTGGCATTGAAAGAGGTTTTTGGAGCCTCAGTCCTAACAAAGTCACAAGATCATCAGTGTATCTTCTTCTGTGTTCCAGAATCAGAAACCCAAATGACATCTGGAGAACATTGTGACTGTCAGAACAAGTTTTTATTTTTTTCTATTTTATTTCACTTTGTTTTTCAAGTCATGTTGCTAACCACTATCTGACAATATTAAGGCATTTTTCTAGACATGGGGCAGAACAAGGCTTGCAACGGGGCAGCTGGGTGCCTGCAGAGGCAACATCCTCCGTTGGTGCTGTACTTTCCACTGAAGAGCAGTGCTCCAAAGGGCACTGACAACTTCCTACTAGAAGAGGAGACTGCCTCTTGGAGGTACTGGGAGTACTGCCCTTTCAGTAGAGTAACTATGATGTTCCTTCTTGTCTTTTTACCTCTGAGCAGGGGCATCATAGTGTAGCTGCTGAGCATTATATTAAATAACTGGCAGAGTAAATAAAGTGGGGAACGTCTCTCAAACTGGAGTTGAGCCATTGGCAGAGGTGGTTAGTCTTCACCTCAGTGATGTTCAGACTCAATGTCTGTTTCCCCCGTGTTTGCTGTACGGGGCACAGGATTTACCAATCTGCCTTTACTCAAGTCAGTTGCCTTCTTGCAGTGAGGTAGGAATTGCTCCTAGCAGGTAGCTAACTAGGGTGATGGTATCTGCTGTAAAATGGTACCAGCTCTGTGGAAGAGCAAGCTTTGAGACTCCTTTTAAGATAGAAACCACTAATAGACTGCAAAAAGCTGTAGGCCAGCTATTACCATTCAAAGGAGTGAGGGAGATGGGGAGGAGGCACCACCACGTGGACAGGAAGAGGTGGTTTTGGAGAAAACTTCACACTTCACCCTAAATCTCTGGAAGCAGGATTTTCTTGCTCAGGACTGAGTATGCCCTTTCAGACACGTTTGGGCTTCACACTGAAACATACCTCTGCGTTATCAAATAACAAGGGCAGGGAAACGTAGTCACGGGTGGTATGGAGGAACACTGTGGCTCATGAGCACCAGGTTTTCCACCCTGTCTTAAAGCCTACCAGGAGACGTGGGTGTGCAAGCACGTGGCGTGGTTAGCTCGCAGGGCGCAGAGCACACAACTGCTCTCGGGGGGGAGCTGAACCTTCCCCTCGCTTTGAAGAAAGAAGCAAGAGCCATATAATCCTTATTAAGAATGAGTTGTTCTGCCATCATCTCTCCTTGGAAGGATGTGCTTGGATTGCTACTTAAACTATCAATTTTAGGGGAGCTGCCCTAAAATCAGTGGTCTGGTCCTACTCATTGAAGGCAAGTGTTTTGAAGGCTGGAGGATGTGGGGAACCCTGTGAAAACGAGTACTTCTGTATATTGATTTTTCTGTATACAGAAAGTATCCTGAACATGCATGTGACCGCACATTGGGTTGGATCTAAATTGTCACAGTGGTATTGTCTGTGCCAGCAGGGATAACGGAGGAGCAAGCCTATGCCTTTTTGTTTGCAGCATCTGATGGAGCAGCCACCTTGACCTGCTTCCTTCCAAGGTTTGGCATAGCCACTTACAACACCCAGAACAACTCCTGACAATGTTTGGGGCTTGCAGCAAGGCACAGATGTGGAGATATGTGCTCTGTGACTTCAAAATATAACTGGAAAGAATGTTACAGATAACATTTTGCTCTCTGGAGGCCAGCATAACATGACTGCAGTGTGAGCTGTGTACCTTTGTCCAGCCAGCACTTCCTTTACTTGACATGGATATTGCACTTTTGTAAAGCATCCTGGAACTCTGCTGCCCCGCTGCATGCTGTGCAGAGCGCTGGATAGGAAACACAGACAAATGGGTTTCTTTTGTTTTATTATTATTACTACTTTTTTTTTTTTTTTTTTTTTACTGGAACCTTGAGCAACAGTGTGGCATTTCTGCAGGCTGGTCTGAACGGATCTGCTGAAGAACAGATGGCCTTTGCCTATTCTTATGGCTGCGACATAATCAGTCTCATCCATATGGTCACATTTTGTCTGAGGAGTGGACTTGGAAAAGCCAACATCTCCCAGACTCTGTGCCTCCCTCTCGGGTGAACAGCAGGTGCTATCTGGCGAAGACTCATCTGTTCTAGATGGCATTCATGGTTGAGGGAGTCCAAACTTTTCAAGCTGTAGGAGGTAAAGCTGTAGAGACTTCTCTCTCTTCCATTGTGTGTCTCTGTTTTTAATGTGACAAAATGCCAAGGCCATATCACTTGGTGTGTCCCAGCTGACCTTAGCGGAATGTTACTCGTGTTACTGGTTGCTAACAAAAGGGTCCAGAATTCAGGGGAGATGAGATTGGCCTCTGGACACCTCGCTGACTGCAAAATGGAAGGCAGCTTGTCCGGTTGAAGGTGACTGCATCAGTGAAGACACTTCATGTTACGTTTTCAGAAGCACAAATGTGGTCATTGGCTTGTCTGGTTGGCTTGGTTTATTTCCACTGCATCATCATGTGTGAATGACACTTTCTTTTGGAACTGAGAACTCTTCCAAGCACACAAACATCTCCACAATGTGAAATGTAAATAGCATGTTGGACTCTTGCGTCCAGTGTTCAGACTGCATTGTAATTGTAAAGGAAATCGAATCAAGACTTGGCTGTGAATTTCTTGTGCTGTCTTGGGAATATAACTGTAGTGTTTGTATCCTGTATGTATTATTAAACTGAGTTCATTTTATGTGCTGATAAAAGGGTTCAAGCTAAGATTTTTAGCGTGCATCCATGTATCCAGATGTGAAGGATGGAATGCTCCCTTCCCCTCCTGTCCTTTTTAAGTTTTCTCCATTTGATAGATGTTAACTTTCCGTGTACAGTCATCTCAGCCAAGATGCAAGGATGTTCATTTGAGTGCTTTGAGGGGGACACAGTGCATGGGGCTTTAGGTCATCCGAAGTTAGGATTTCCATAGCAAGTCCCTGGAAATACATGCCAAGTTTGGCCTTTCTGAGAGTAAACCAGTTCTCAGGGGGCTGCTTAGCCATCACTCACGAGAGCTTTGGGTGCTGCAGGGTGATAGCAGACAGGGGTGGGTGGCTACCCGTATGAGCAAGGTGCAGGTACCTGTGTGGATAAACCCATGCTTCACTTCTAGTCCTGCCGCCTTTCTAGCAGCAACTGAAATACCGTGCTGAGCCCTTTGAAGAAGAGAGAAGTGTCTTGGCTTGTTGATTCTAGCCACCCCACCTGATTCAGGAATAGATGAGGTGGGTGGGTTTTCCTTTAGCTAGGGAGGGGAGGCATCTTTGAAGTATTTTCTACCTGGGGACCAAGGAGCAGCCAGGGTCTTCCCCGATTCAACAGTAAATGAGCATCTCTGGGTGGGAGGGGAAAAGCCCTCCAGGCAGATACCAAGGAGTTAGATCTAATGCCTTGAGAGAAGAGACTGAACAAGACTTAATCTGTACGTTTAACCAGGTGGCTTCTTTCATCGCAGCCTACTCTCATTTTCTAGAAACTTCGTGTGCATGGTATGGATGGCTTCCCTAGTCATTCCAGGAGGCCCAGCAGAAGCGTGGGATGTTTTGGTAGCAGTTCTTAGATGGCTGGCGAGTGGTCTGTGCTTTTGGGTGGGAGTGGGATCTCCTGCTGAGTCATGATGGTGAGTGTGTTGCCCAGCTGGGAGAGAGAAGGGACGAGGTACTGGTGGCCTGGAGCTCCCGGGTGCTCGCCCAGCCCCTGTGGCTGCACGAACAAAGTGGAATACAAATTGATGTACAACCAGAAAGTTCAAAATACTCCTTTCCTAAAGAGGATAACTGTAGCATGAAGCTCTTAGGTGCTCTGCATATTTGATACCACATTGCTCCTCACTATGCAATTCCCAACACCTTCCTTCCTGTTCCTCCTCTGATCTCACACCAAGACTTCTC